AATTTAATTTTGTATGGAGTATTGACTTAGTACATCTACAAATCACTTCTGATTACAGCTCTATTTCCAGTGTCCCCAAAGACACAAAAGACATGGCAGGCTCACACGTCTACCACACCTTATCCAGAATGATAGGCATTCTCTGTTCCCACTTGTACCCCTGCTGCTAAGCTTCCTCCATTAATGGTTCTCTGGGTTCAGGTCATGCCATCTCTATTTAAGGCTATGAGCCTCGCTCTGATGTTTGCTTAAGGTCAGAAGCATGCAAGAATTTGAGATAAAAATAGCACACTTGTTTATAGTTTCTTCCTACCTCATACACATTTAGGATTTTACCTTTCTGCTTTTATAGTAGTATGGGGGTGAAGGGCTAGGGCCACTTGGGAAGCCAGCCTGTGGGCCTACAGTTGCAGTTTATACACAAGGATATTCTGTTTGGCCAGCAGGGACCAACCCTACTCCACTGAGCCTGAGTTGCCTTAAATGGAACATACACTCTCCTCATTGCCTCAGGGTCCATACTTCCAATGGTTGAGTTCATTCTCCAAGGGGCATCAGAATCTTTTAAGTTCTCTTTCACTGAACAGTTTAAAAAATGGTCCTGCTTGTGGAGGTAATTACTTCAATAAGTTACATAAATGCCTAATCACTATATTGTACACTTGAAACTAATATACAATAACATTGTACGTCAACTGTAACTGAAAAATTAAAAAAATATTTTAAAAAAGAAAAATAATAATAATTTGTCCCTCTTAAAAAAAATGGTCCTATATTCCAGAATAATTATACCTGTTTGTACATTTGGCTGGGGTCTTAGCTACTCACTTGTGCAAAGCAAGTGATTTCCTTGTTCATTATGTAAAAGTAATAAAATTAACAATTGTATGGTGCTTTATTGTTTATAAAGTATTTCTACTTAATTCATTGGGTATTATGGATGGGAGGTAATATAGCATGATTAAGAATATGGGCTCTGGAATTAGACAATTTGAATTTGAATTTGAGCTTTAGGAATTGCTAGTCTAGTCTCAGTTTATAAACCCATTCAATTTTCTCATCTGTAAAATGAGGTGGCGCCTATCTTATAGAGTCATTATAAGAAGTACATAATTCACACAAGACAACTAGAATAGTAACTGACTCATAGTTAGTGCTAAGTAAATCTTACATGCTAAAACTATTATTATTAACTAGAGACCATGCACCTGGGGAGGGGGAGGGTCTCTCAGTCCAGCCTGAGCCCTCTTGCAGTCTGGGAGCCCTCGGGAGATGTCCAACTGCCAGCTCAGGGAGGCTCCCACCACTGCCGCTATATTCTCCAGCTGTGAGCCTGGCTTCTGGCTGAGCGGTGCTCCCGCTGTGGGAGTGCACTGACCACTAGGGAGCATCTCCTAAATTGAGCGGGATTGGGCCAAAACTGGCTGACATCCCCCTAGGAGTCCCGGATTGTGAGGGGGTACAGGCCAGGCAGAGGGACCTCACTGGTGCACAGTTGGGGATGAGGAGGAATGTAGGAAATTGGCCAGCAGGAGAGAGACCAAGTTAGGGCTCTAGGGCATGTCTGGCCCATCTCTCTCAGTCCCAATGGGCCAGACCCCAGCAGCAAGCTAACCTACTGGTTGAAGTGTCTGCCTCCTGGTGATTAGTGCACATCATAGTGAATGGATGACTGGTTGACTATCTGCCCCCGGATCGTCAGTGCATGACACAGTGAGAGGTTTGAACAGCCTTAGTGTATCATTAGCATATTATGCTTTGATTGGTTGAACGGCCAACTGGATGACCAGACACTTAGCATATTGGACTTTTGTTATATAGGATAGTACATGAAGAAATGTAAACTTGAAAAAAATTAAGCAATGTATTTAAGGTAACACAACTATTTGGACTTTACCAAGATTTAGAAGCACTGGGTATTGGTTTCTTTTCTCTGTAGTTACTGCTGAATTCCTCATGCATTCTGGGGGGACTGGAAAACAAGTCATCGTTCTTTTTCCAACTTCTGTATTTTCATTTTGTTTCCTCACACTTAGGACTCGTGGATTATTGTCTGTCCACTCATGAGCTCTTTCTGTTAGAATTTACCATGAGAGGTAGTAAGGCATAGGTTATGTCTACAGCTCTGCAGGTGGTGGGGACTTGACAGAGATGTTGGGGACTTTGGGTCCCTCTGAATTTTTCCTGCATAGATAGTCTGAAAAATTAACCTCCTATTTCTATTAAAGTATTAAGTTATTGCCATTCATCAAGAAATTAAAAAAAAACACCCAGTGAGAATATATTACTTCTTAATGCTTTAGTTTTTTTTTCCTCTTAAGTGGGAGAATACTTAAATTTTTGTGACCTCATTGGTCATTACATCTTCCTTTGAGTTAGTGGAAGAAAAGGTGATATCATCTCCATTTGTTGGGGGAAAGTAATTGAAGTCCAGTGTGAAAAGAATACCGGCTTCGGAGTCAGGCAGATGGGGCTCAATTGCTAGCTCCTCCATTTTCTGTTATATTTTCAAGTTCCATTGTCCTCATCTGTATAGTGAGAATAAACAGAGGGTTGTTTGGAGGCTCAAGAAGATAATTCTCACAAAAGAGATAAAAAGTATATGCTGAAACCGGTTTGGCTCAGTGGATAGAGCGTCGGCCTGCGGACTGAAGGGTTTCGGGTTCGATTCCGGTCAAGGGCATGTACCTTGGTTGCGGGCACATCCCTAGTAGGGGGTGGGCAAGAGGCAGCTGATCGATGATTCTCTCTCATCGATGTTTCTAACTATCTATCCCTCTTTCTTCTTCTCTGTAAAAAATCAATAAAATATATATTAAAAAAAAAAGTATGTAAGTGTGGCTGTCATTGTGGTTGTGTGGTGATGACTTTTCACACTGGTCCAGGGTCACCCTTAGAAGGGAACCCAGGTCTGGCCATTCCTTATTGAATGCTGTGCAAACTTCTTCCCTGGGGTTGTTTCTTTACATTTTAAAATCCAAGTGTTTTAACCTTTTGATTATTAATTTTTTTTAATGTGCCTATTTAGAGAGGCTCTGTATTCAGCTGGCCACATGCAGTGCCCATTATGTAAAAATCCCAGATTTACCTTGTTTCATGAGGCAGAGTTAATGTTAGTGAATCCACATGACCAACAAGGAATATAACAGAGAATCTGTCAAGTGGTGTTTGGGCAACTTTCTCAGAAAGCGAAAGCAGCATGTAGATACTGAATTACCATGTGCTCAGCATTGTGTGAAGTAGAGGATACAAAAGAAACACCTTCTTTATTTGTCTCTTATAGGACTGAGTGTTTTAGGGCAAACTGATGTGATTGAAACCTAACATGATTAAAGAGCAATAATAAACACTATTTGATCCAGTCATGTTAGTTAAGTGGATTCTGATCTGGGCACTGCATGGGCTCATAAACTGATGGATCATGGGACAAGAACACCCACACTTAAAGCTGGTTTGATAAATGAGAATAAGGTTTGCACAGGGTGCAGAAGAGAGATTATGTGGTGTGTGTGCATTTAGTTGGTGCTTAAGTGATCCTGATGACTAGTGGGGGATGCTGGACAGAGGAATATTGAGTGAAGAGGACAGCACATAACATTTTAAAAGTCACTGAGACATGAGAGAACTTGGTGATGACGAAGAACAGCATTTGTGGGATAGTGGGCTGGAGAAATGTGCAAGGGATAAGTCATTGAAGACCTTGTGTACCGTGCTGAGAAATCTGAGCATGAAGGCATTGGCAACCAAGGGGGCAAGAGATGAGCATAGCAATGTTTCAGAATGACCACTCTAGGAGGATCTTCCAGAAAAACAGTTGAGAAATAGGGCCTGAATCAATTCTCAGAAGAAAGAGAAAATGAATAAATATAGAATAGTAGAGTAAGTAAGTAGGTGTGTTCATTGTAGGAATTTAGAAAAAGGGTTGCTATAGTGGGAACAATATTTGAGGAATACTCTGATGAAGGCAGATTTGAGTGCCAGCCCAGTGACTTGCCTATAGTAGATAGCCAAGTATAGGATATTGAATGGCAGTAAGATTTATAAGCGAGAAAGATATAATGTGTGAAATGGTCAAGGAGACAAATCTAACTGGAAAAGAGCGATACATATAACTATATAGTATACACATTGGTTATATATTTTAGGAAGTTTTTGAAATGCTAGATAAAGGAGTTTAAACTTAATCAATAGGAAGCCATTGAAGATTCTTAAACAGATATTTTGATATTTTAAGGTTGGATTAGAAATGTGTTTATATTTTGGGCCTTTTCATCTTGGGTGAAGACGTGTTTGGTAAAATGATGCTAATTCTGATTCTTAATGTTTAATGGAAATGCCACAGAGACAGAATTAATTTAGATTGGGAAATAAAGTCAGATGACCCCACTTTGGCTGTGGAATAGTTCATTGTCAGGAGACAAAGGGCACTGAGGCAGAAATGAATCAGTGTCGATATGAGATTTTAGATGATACCAGTCTATAGAAGGATGGAACAAATAGAAAGATGGGAGAAAGTGTTTGCCCTGTGGAGTTTTTTAAGGGCAGTAAATACATGGCATGTACAGTCATTATCTCGTTCCATCTCATAGGAGGCATAATGTATCTTGGTATGTTTTCCTATTGAGCTCAATGGTAATCTTGGAGTTTGTGTTAACACAGTGCTCCAGGCAACTACTATCAATTGATCACAGTTGGCACTGGAATTCAAACCTATCTGTCATGTCTTCAGTAAGAAATGAATGATATGTTCTGGCTGGTGTGGCTCAATTGATTGAGAGGTTGCGGGTTAGATTCCTGGTCAAGGCACATACCTGGGGTTGTGGACTCAATCCCCAGTAGGGGCTGTGCAGGAGGTAGCCAATCAGTGTTTCTCTCTCATTGATGTCTCTCCACTTCTCCATTCCTGTCTCTTGGAAATAAATGAAAAATTTTTAAAAAGCAGTGAATGAGAAATAGATTATGATTGTACTCATGATAGAAATCAATTTTTATTTTTCCAGGTGGAACTTGCGGAAATCTGTGCCAAGAGTGAGCGGTATATTGGCACTGAAGGAGGAGGGATGGACCAGTCCATATCATTTCTTGCAGAAGAAGGAACTGTAGGTGGCATTGAGCTATTTGGAAATATCAGCCAGGGAAAAGTTCACACAGAGAGGAAGGTTATGAGATCCCTAGCATGCTCGATTTTGGCAGTCTGTTCTATTAGACTCTATTGTAGCATGGTTTTCTCCTCTCCTTTGTAATTCAAGGTACCACCAATTCACCTATTCTGTTTTATGGTGATCACCTTTCCCTTAAGCTTCCAGAATCACCCCTCAAGTCTGTTTTTCTCTTGTGTTTAGTTTTTTGTTTTTTTTTTTCTTCCTCCTAATTCATTGTTAGGATGATTTCTCAATTCCCTAGTTGTTGAGACCACTTTTCCCTCTCTCGTCCTAAATCACTTCATCTCATGGCATTTCCTAATCTCTTGTTGGTTTTAAACCCAAATGTTAGTTTTCTTACCACATATATTCACAACCCCTCTTTTTATCATTTACTCTTTGGCATAATTTTTCTCTGTCAACATTTTTGGGGTTTCAGTGGTGGGGAAAAGAATGTTGACAGTAAGCCAGGAATAAATTCTTTAGCTAGATACCACTTCCCCTTGGCTATCTCCTCCCTTAGGCAGAGTAGAAGTTTTGGGTTGTTGGTCATAAAGTGCCCATTTCCAAAGTAGAAGCAGACATTTCTTTAAAATATTTTCTTAGTTTTTCATCAGATTCCTATTTTCCCAGAATACCTGGATTTTTTCTTATTAAGAATATTTGTTATTGATTCCCCTAAGCCAAAGACATGAGGCATGAGGAAATTTGGTTTAATGCTAAGAAAATACCCTGGGTGTTTTGGATGAGACCTGACAAGCAGACATGATGGCACGAATCCTGATGTTAATGTAAGTTAGATGTAGATCTGAACAAAGTCCCAATTCTTTGGGCTTGCAAAGCACTTTCCAATTTGACCCCTGCTTTACCCCTCCTATCCTTTCACCATGCCTCCCTCCTCAAACTCTAAGCTTCAGTTAACTTTCAATTCCCGAAGCTCTAATAACACCTCATGGTGTTTTCTCACCTCTGAACTTGCTTATACTTTTCCCTCACCTTGACATCCTATTTGGGTAAAGACACCCTCTGCCTGTCCTACTCTTGCTCATCCTCTAAGACTCAGTTTAGATTTTCCTTTTTTTCCCAAGGGAGCCCACGCTAGGCTATATCTGATGAGGTATTTTAAGTATGTGTCTGAATAGCACCCTGCCCTTTACTACCATTGTAACACAATCTGGAAATGTACTTGTCTATTTGACTGCCTTTCCCACTAGGTTGTAAGCTCTATGAGTGCAGGGACAGTGTCTGTCTTGTTCACTGTTGTAAGTACAGTAACTGGAAGTCAACAAATAATTCTTGATGGTAAATGCATTTTTTAGGAAAAAATTTACTAAGATAAATAAGTGCATAAATGGTTAAACATTTTCTGAAATTTTCTTCCAATAGGCCAAGTTGATAGAATTTAGCCCTCTGAGGGCAACTGATGTGAAACTCCCCAGTGGAGCAGTGTTTGTGATTGCCAACAGTTGTGTGGAAATGAATAAGGCAGCAACCTCCCATTTCAACATCAGGGTGATGGAATGTCGGCTGGCTGCAAAGGTATGAACTTGGTAAACTATTTTCACTTAACGTAAACTTTCTCTGGTTCTTTTTCTCTTTGTTCCCTATTACTTTGTCTCTTTACCTAAAATTAGGGAAACATTCTGACTGCAGCAACATTCTAACTCAAGGACAATGGGGTTTAGAGCAATCTTCCAGACTCAGGAGATAAATAAAACTATAGGTGTGCCCTGCAACCTCTAGCCATTGAGAAATATATGAACTTCACAGCTGAGTCTTTTAGAGTGGGACTGGGGAAAAGAGGACAGCTTATGTATGTGAAGCACAGGCAGTGGATTCAGTTTTTGTGTGGAGAAAGCAAGTTGGAGGTGATTGATGGGAAGTAACCATGGCTGATTTTGTTTCCAGAAGAAAAGTGATGACAGCTTCAGTCCTTGGTCCTCTTACATGTACCATTTTGTACTGGGCCATCACTGGTTACTCTAAAAATATAGGCTTGGTGCAACCTCCCCTGTGCCCAGAATACTTCTACATGTCTAATGGGGAAACACAAACCAGAAGGGAGTCCTGCCAGTTCTTTGTGCCATGTTTTTGAAGACCCTTGCCAGTCCAGCCTTAAATCTTACAAAATATTCATTGAATATTTGTTGATTAACAAAAAGATCCAGAACATGAGACTAGAGAGAGTAAAGAGTTAGTTATGAGGATAAAAAAATCCCTTTGTAAATTATATACATTTCTAACCATTATGCTGTACACCTGAAATGAACATAAAATAGTACTGAATGCCAACTACAATTGAAAAAAAAAGAGAGAGAGAGAAAGATAAATAAGAGATGATTAGTATGTGATCAGGTGGTATATAACCAGGTGCTCCAAAAAGTGACACAAATTTAATGTTATGGAGGATCCAGCGAAGCTCATGATGTGACTAAAAAGTGAAGAGAACTGAGACTGGGAGCTGGGAAGTGGAATCTGGGTCAGGAGCTCCACTGTGCTTTCTCCTAATCATTCTTCAAATAGCAGTTAGAATGATGGTTTAGAAATTTCAGTCTGATTAGGTAATTCCTCAGCTTAGCACCCTTCAAAGCTTTGCATTTCATTGGAATAAAATCAAGTCCTCATCACCACCTGGAGAGCCATGCAGGATCCAAGGCCTGTGTACCTCATCTTCGTCTTCTCTTAGCACCCCTACTCCATTGCACTTTAGCCTGAGCGACTTTGCACATGCCCAGAACACTTCTCCTCCAGTCCTCTTTGTCCCTCAGGGAAGCCTTCCTTGACTTCCTTATTTCTTATTCCTTAAGATTAAGGTAGGGCTCCTTTTGAACTTGATATCACAGTAACAATACTGTCACAACTGTTTAATGTCTGTCTTCTTTTTTCTGATTTGATTTTACCTGAAAAACAAGACTGTATCCATTTTATATCCCTAATGCCTGGCATAGTGCTTAGGCTAAAGTAGGCACAGATAAGCATCCTATATAATAAAAGCCTAATATGCTAACTGTCTGGTAGTCCAGTCGGCCATTAAACCAATAAAAGCATAATATTCTAATGATATGCTAAGGACACTCAACTGCTCCTTATGTCATGCACTGACCACCAGGGAACAGACTCTCCGACTGGTAGGGTAGCTTACTGCTAGGGTCTGGCCATTCAGGACTGAGTGAGACAGGCCGGACATGTCCTGGAGCCCTCCCACAGTCCTTCCCTCTCTGGCCAACCTCCTGCGTCCCTTTCCAGACCTGATCGTGCACTGGTGGGGTCTCTCTGCCTAGCCTGCGCCCTCTCACAATTTGGGAACCCTTGGGGGATATTGGAGAGCTTGTTTTGGTCTGATCCTGCAGGCCAGGCTGAGGGACTCCACTGGTTTAACTCATGCACCAGGTCTCTAGTTTGTTAAATAAATGATTACTGCCTATGTTCCTGCCCTATCATATTTATTTTGCTCAATTTCACACTTTTTTTTTTTTTTTACAAGTGTATATTGTATGCCCAGCACTGGGCTAGCTACTATACATGGAAATGTATAGTGTGTAGTTCCCCCTTTTAATTGACTTACCCCTTCAGTTTTACTCCTACCCCCTAAAGTTGTGAGGTTGAGGAGAGGAGAGATATGATGAACCAGAAAAAATAAGAGCTTTTTTTTTTTCCCCCCTGGAAAGTTTTGGGGTTAAATATTTTTTAAAAAATCACTATTTAAATTTTAAAAAATTGGAATGTACTCATTCAGATAATTTCTAAAAATTATATAAAAAACAAATGTTTCAATATGAGATATGCACAATATTTAATCAGTATATATATGAGATGAAGTAGTATGAAAAACTTCAATATCAAGGTTTTAGTGTTAGTGGCCTTTTTTGTTGTTTAGAACAAGCATCCTCTTTCAGGAGATGGAAGAAATTAGTGTGTTATTTGTTTGAGTGCTTATTTTTGTTGATTTCTGATTTTGAGGTCGATGAGTAAGTATTGCCTTCCTGAGAAGACCTCAGATATACACAACATTGTTTTCAGAGTTTATCACAAAATTACATATTCTCTACAAGATCCATACATGAGCTAAAACAGGAATGAGACATGTGACGTAGATTCATGTTGTGACTACTCTCTTCCAAAGGCTCAACAAGAAAGTGAGGAATAAAATTTTGAGACTGAATCTCTGTAGTGAAAATTGTCAGGAGGGGAAGAATGTCTTTTTGGAATTAGCTACAAAAAGCACATCTCTTTTGAAAACAGCAGCTGAAAACCTTACTTCCCTGTAGAACCACCTGTTCTGGAGGATGCCTTCTGAGTGAGACTGCACAACTCCATACGTGTTTTAAAGGGTCTCTGTCAGCAAAATTGGCATCTTGATTTTATTTTTTTTGGCCACATACTCCTCACAGTTAGTATAGATAAACATTGCTTTAAATTAGGGGTGTCGAACTCAATCAGAGAAGGGGCCAAAATCTAAAATCCAGCCTAAATCGCGGGCCGAATGGTTTACTGAACAGTCATAAACTGTCATTGTGATGCAAACGCAGCGGAGTGCAGTGATGACAGCGCGGTGCGGGCCACATTGCAAGGCCTGGCGGGACGGATTTGGCCCGCGGGCCTTGTGTTTGACACATGTGCTTTAAATACTCTGAATTTTTCTCTTTTTTAAAATATAGAAGAAATAAAGTGACTATTAAGATGGAGAATGTTTTCTAAATCATGTTGCTGCAGATCACTAGAATCCAAGGTTATACAGAAAAGGGAAATTTAAGATAAAATTGCTGATATGGGCTACACACATAGCTATTGATGTTAAGATTATGTTTTTGCCTATGAATATGAACTAGAATTCTGCTAAACGTATTGTTCTTACGATATGATTCCATTTTTCCATTTTTCAGTAATATGTGAGCGAATATAATTTTTGTTTGGAAATGGTCTCATTGAATCAGGAAATAAAATCTCATGTTAAAAAGGTAAAGAAGCTTGTTTTAATCTGCACAAATTTTTCGTTTTCAGACAATAAAATGAGGTGTCAGTGGAGAAATTACTAATCAGGATAATTTTGAAAATGAGAGTGAATAGATAAATCTCTACATGCCAAAATTGTATTAATATTTTCTTCTCCTGTCTCTCTAAACCCCTATTTTGAAAATGAGCACCTTTTGTATCTTAATACAGGGAAGTACTCTAAATCAATAACCATGAATTTTCTTTGTTTTATTTTAATATTGATAGTTTCTACTATTCTTTTTAAAATTTTATTTAAGTTTAGTTAGTATGCAATATTATATTAGTTACATTAGTCTCAGGTGTATAATAAATATAGTGATTTGACATTTTTATAATGTGTTTACCCAACTAATTCTAGTAATCATCTGTCACTGTGCAAACTTACCACAATGTTATTGAGCATATTTCCCTTCACCCTTTTCATCCATCTTTTAACCCCTCCTTTCTGGTAACTATCCCTTTGGTCTCTGTCTTCTGTTCTTAAGATTCCTTTCTCTCCCTCTCTTTCCTTCCCCCTTCTCTCTTTCCAGCAGCTTCTAAAAACTAATTGATGTAGATTCATTAAAAATCAGTGTCATGTAGAGCCATTGAACTAAAATTAAAAACATTTCAAAGCAAACTCAATAGAGATTTATAATTATTACTTGCGTAAATGATACTTTTAAGTGAAGCACATTTTCATGTTCTTAAATTAACAAAGTGGACAGAAATCTTTAATGAGCACAACATTTTTCATATTTTACATGTATTCAGTGGCTTAAAATTTTTCCAGAAATGTTTTATGTCTATAAAAAAAGAGAGTAGCCCTTAATTATATTGAGGGATAAAATGTGTGATGCCAATAATAAATATTACGGGAAATAAAAAAGGGAAGAGAAATTTTACTATTGCTTTTTGCATATCCTGTGCTCCTTGTGGCAACATGTGAAGCAACGGAGGAGAGAGTTTCATGTGGTCCTTTGACACTTTAAGGGAAATTCACAGCGTGATTCTTTACAGAGCCTGTTTGGTCAGGGGCCACCACACATGCGGTTTTTTAGCTCCTGCCACTTAGTGGTCAGTGTGGAACTTATTCTCTCTGTGGTGAAAGAATAAGGAGAAGTGGGCATAATATTTTCAGGGCTTTGGCAGTTTCCTTGAATTTGAGAAAAATTCTTGGGTAAGTGGCCAGTTTCACTGAGACTGTTGATTCAGTGGAGCACTCTCTGCCAAGACACTCGTGTGGAGTTTTCCTAGAATGGCGAGTCCAGGCTGTAGGGCAGAGGACGCACACTTTGGGGAACAGGGTGGATGCGTGTAGTGGAGCCAGGTTGTGGCAGAGCCTTCAGTGCTGTGCTAAAAGTCACACTAGTATTTTAGAAATATTAGTCTGGTAGCAGCGTCTTTGTCTTGGTTGAAGAGAAGTGGGTCTTAAAGTGTCAGTGAGGATGGGATAAAAAGGCTCTCTGATTGGGTGTCTGTCTTCCTTTTGGCAGAAACACCATTGTTTGGAGGCAGTATCCCCCTGACCACCCTTCCCACTTCCATTGTGTTAAACTGCCTTT